AGAGTTAATTTGTATTAATAATATAAATCAATTCTTCGGCTAACATTGAATAAAATGAGGTTTCTTTTACAAAGTACAAAAATGACTCATAGAAGAAATTTATCTTTCCCAGATTACAGCTTTAACACGTTTTAGTTTTACACAGAGTTGAGCTTAAGCTATTCATATAAGATTCCTCATAAAAATGCAGTAAACAGAAATCTTGTCTTGTATTCAGAGCCGACAATACGCGTTTTCCTGCTCGATGCAATAGAAATAATATTTTACACATTTGTTTCACAGCTTCCTTATAACCCACATACGACACCTAATTTTTAATTATTTTCAAAACTGAAAAATGCTGAATTAATATTTTCAATTCTGATAGCAAAGCTGCTATGCGCAAATTCACCAAAAGCAAACTACAGACTTCATAAGCAGAAAGAAGTGAAAATCACATATATAGGAGGAAAAAATGCAAACAATAAAATGGTAAGCAACCATGTTGAAAAATAATATATATACTAACAGATTATTTTCCTTCATTATTTTGTCTTGAACCTCTATGACGAGAGACCTTACTTATTAATATCCCCCTTATATATAATTAACATGCTTTCGTGTTCCCCGTTCATTAGTAAAAGGAAGCTTGTTAACTCTCCGAGCAGCGCAGGATTTTAGATCTGCCATGAAGACAGAATACAGAAGAATTTAAACAGAATTTATTGAGTTTGTATAATTACTTATTTTAGTCTGTACTTTCCTAAACTTGCATTCATCAAGATATTTACATTATTAAAGAAAGTAAGAAAGCAAAATATCTTAAATTATAAGCTAATATATGCCATGTAGCAAAATTTTTGATGACCGGATAAAGCCGGTCATAATGCTCAGAGGGTCAATACCCTTAAAATGCATTTGATGCCAAAAGTAAGTTTTACAAGAGTGCTAAAGAATTTTAAGAATAATAAATTGCTCCTAGTTAACAGCAGAAACATTAGTTACTGCACGTAGCACAAAATTTGTTTTTAACAGTTTTATTTTTGTGTTTGGAAAGTAATATATATGTGTTTTATGTACAGTAACGACTATTTAATCTTGATTTTTTTCTTTATTTTGTGCTTGAAAGGTAAATATACATACATGTTTAGGTAAATATACATACGGATATATATACATGTTTTATGTACAATAATAATTAGTTCATCTTATATTTCTTTGAAAAATTTAATTATATTTTAACATATTAATTTATTTTGTTCCGGAGACAATGCTGGCAAACAAGAACTTTGATATTTTCCACATATGTAATAACATATACATGCCAGTTTTGCTTAGAAAATTCTCCATGAAATCATCCCTTTCCTTAGGCAGAGAGCCCTTATGTGTTGTGCTATAAATAGCTAGACAAAAATGATTTCAGTCTTGCACAAAGTGCTACAAGAAATTTCTCGATACCTCTGTCCGATACCCATTATCGATTGCCTATTCAATTTTGATATACCATTCAGTACTTAAGTTACTAGCATTGCTCAGTCACTTCAATTATAGACAATATAACTTTTAGAAACGAAGTATAATTTTTGAAGACTATATAGCTGTTATATACTACCAAGGACTATCAAAAATTTAAAATTAAGTATGTATACATATAGAGTATGTGTAGAGTTAAAATAAATCTTGCTGGGATGATCTGGACTGCATGACCACACTTGTTAGACCAGTGTTCTGGTTTAAGAATCTAATGCAGGGTTAAAAGTTCCATCTTCCATATGCTCATTTAGATAGAAATTATTGGGAATAATAGATTCAGAGATTTTAATAATGAAAACTGGGATGACTTACTCAATTTCAGAAATTAGTGCCTAAAAGCATTAAAACCTTATTTATAAGAGTATTTCAAATAGGCTATATACCTAAATATCTCAAACATTACATACGACCACGATTACAATTTAAGAACCAAATCAAATAACTTTAGCTTTCAAATGACAAAATTCTCATCTACCGATACCTTTATATTGGCCCTGCAAGATTACTTGTTTATTAGTGACCGAGAAACAATGGCCCAGTAATTAAAAGGATTTATTAATATTTCAAGAACTTCATAACAGCAACTGCAGTTGACACAATTAATGCAAGTTGTCCATTAAAATCATCATAAAATGTCTAAAGTGACAGGAAACAAGTACATTTCATGCAGCATCACAAGGCAAATAATATTTTACTAAAAGAGAAAAACATAATTACCAAATCTGAAATGTTGATTTTAATCTTCCAATAACTAAGGCACAATTCAAAGTAAATGCAACATATTAATGGGATATTAAAATGTTTTATGTAATAACTGCTACAACACCTTATAGTATATTTCTGCACATAGGCAAAGAATTTTTGGAACTTTGTCCAAAGCTAAATTGGGAATCAGCTATATATGGATCTGTTAGTCCCACCAAAAAATGCAAGTACTTTTCCATTAGCTGGAGAGTGATAAATTACTAAATATCACACCTTTAGTTCGTATTTTTTTTACGAAAAAAATTTTAGATAAATTAGATATTCGTTTATGTCAATGAGTTATTTTATTTTTGAAATTGTTTATAATGTTTGTTTGGTGCATCATTGCTAAACGATCCAATGATGAAATTTGCACCCACTTTCTCCACTCTCGAACTTCCTTTTTCATTTACATAGAAATGCCAAGCAGCCATACTGCTACAATTTTAATCAAACACTATCACCTGTAATTTAAAATTTGCCATACAAGAACTTCTCTTCCCACTCATCTTTTGGGCAAAATTTAAAATGCGCCATTTTAAATTTTAATAAGTATTATATTTTATTTACAGGTAACAGAGATCAGATACAAGAAAAAAAATTATGGAAAAAAAAGGTCCCAGCTTCAGATAGTTACTTAAAACTATCTTCACTGGCATCTACCCATTCCCATTTTACCTGCTTGGCAACATTTTCACCTTTACAGTGACATATTTGAACATTGAAATTTTTCCTCATTTTGACTTATATTCAGGGTTTGAATTTTGGGTAAATTTTTGAAGAAAAAACTCACTTTCAGCTTATACAAGGATCAGCTTATATTTGAAAATATACCGACACTTTGTTGTGTTGCTCACAATGATTTACATAACGCAAGGCCTAAAAGAGATGCCTATGGGATGCAAACTAAAAACACCACATAAAATGAGCATTGTTAACATGAGTACCTTTGCCATATATATATATATATAAACGTTTGAGATCAGTTGGAAAAATTTGCATAAAAACTTAAATAAATCCAATCAATCATGATTAAAGGCTGTATTACTATATAAAATGAAAGTGTACCAATACATTTCTTCCATTGCAAACTAAAATCAATTCCATAACTGTCCAATAGCTGATTGACAAGTTTCTCTTAACCCTACTAGTTAAGAAATTATACCATTCATTGCATTCATATTCAGATCTTTCATAACTCTCAGCTACCTTAACAGCTTAAAGGATTAAGACAATAATTAAGACACAAGCTTAAAGGATGATCTGCAATAACTGTCAAGTGCAATTTCATTTGTCACTGTAAATTTTGTTGGGCATTTTCATGCTGTCCATTCAAATCACAAATGTTAAAACCCTCAAAATTTTTAACTCAGTTTTTAGATAATATTCAAAGCAATTATTCAGAGAAGTTTATTATAGCATTTCTTCTTTTTAGAATCGCCGGCCTATTTTAGCTCCACTGAACGAAAATAGGCTCAGTTTTACTTTAATTTTAAAGTTTGATTTAACCCAGTTAACATATTTGGTAGCCTTTTCTCAACATTTTTTAAATGATCTTTCTAGTGGTAATTCCTTTAAATAATAAATTATAGCTTCTTTCCACTTTCTCATTAGCTCAACAATAAGTAATACAACACTGAAAATCAGAAATGGGCTGTTGTCCAATAATTATACAAAAAGAAGTGATATCAGATGAGCCGTCTTTTCTAGATCCATATCAAGTGCAATATATCGAGACAGGATAACAATATACAATGTTGCGTTTGTAAAGTGAAAATAAGTTCTCAAAGCACATGTAATGTTTATTAAATGCCTCTAAAAAATACAAAAGTATATGTGATGCATTTGGTATGATGAACAGCTAATATAGAATGCACAACAACAATTGTGACAGTCAAAGGAAACAAGTAGCAAGGAAGAAAATCCATACCGAGTTTTGCTTTATATCCAAGTAATTTTATATATTACTAAATTAATGATCAATTTTTGTCCAGGTCTTCTCTTTACAGCCTTTTTAGATGTATTTGACACAAAACTCCAGACCTTCTGTTTAGATCTTTAAAAATAGTACATGCAGTTAAAACAGCACACATAACAAATCCATCAAAGACTCAAGAAAGATCAGAATACTTTACAATAACATGACTTCACTTAATGTTCCAATTTGTAAAAAAAAAAAAAAAAAAAAAAAAAAAAAAAAAAAAAATACATAACCATTAAGTGTTAAATAAACCTTGAGTTCCCCCCTCCCATATATGATAGAATAACAGCATGTGAAATGTTAAAAATGCTCCACGCTAAATTAAACTTTTACTATTTCCATCCTTACACTTTCTTCCAGGTTTCACCATTCACATCAGTTTCAAATGACTTGAGTTTTTCTAGGATTCTTGTTTCAGCTCCTCTAGAATTCACTCTTTAAGTATGTTTTGCTTTTTTCTAATGTGTCTATTCTCCACATTCTTTTAATTCTTGCAGGCTTTCCTACAAGCTTGCTGAAACAAACTGTTCTTGGTTTCTTTCGATTACTCCCCTTCTTGATAAAATACAACTTGATGCTAGTTCCATAACTCCTGATCAACTAAAACAATCTAAATGTTTCAATTCTCATAATGTAGAAACCCCAAATCATAAGTATTTCAATATAAATTTGAATATTATTTTATACAACTTACATTTAACAACTCTGCTTTCTTAATATAAAATGTTTACAAGAAACTATTTTCAAAAAGAAAATATACAAATTTATCAAAAAGTATTTTTATTATGAAAAGACAATGCACTTTAGGTCCCTCAATTTTGCTTAAGTCTAACAAGAACAAAATACAAGTAACAATAACATGATGAAGGGTGCCCATGCATCAATTTGTTCACACTTAGCATGGAAAAAATTATGATTTGATGTTGGACAAACTATGTATCTTGAAATAATAGTCCCTAAAAATTCCCCAAATCTAAAGTTCTTCTTTAGATTTCTTTTTGCCAGTTCTTTCATAACCTTTCAGTTCCTCAGTAGCATGCTTGGAAATGTAACTCACGAAGTCCTTCAAGTCCCGACCACCCTAAAAATGAAAAAGCTTATGAGTATGCAATAATAGCAGTGTGTCGAGAAATAAGAATTACCATACAAATAAACAGGGTTGCCACTCAAACAGGAAAATGAAATTCCCAGACTTTTCCAGGCGTGTTTTAAGAAAATTCCAGTCTATCCGCTTAATGCAATTAGCTGTGCTAAGAGGTAAATTAATTATGGTATCACTTGAAAACACAAAAATTTGCCAATTACATATGACTACATATATATATATATATATTACATATGACTTATAATATACAATCCCCAAAGCATTACTATTATAACTATAATAGTTGTTTTCTCCACTGAAGATTGAGATTAGAATCTGCCAAATCTGCTTTAAAAAATGTATTTTTTGCAGCTAAAGGAAAGAAAAATCTAATAATATTTTTAAATAAATTCAGGTATTTTATATTTATTTAGTAGCATGCATATGCAAAAAATATGTGCATTAAATTTCGTGATGGTACGTCATCGTACTGCTAAAATTAATTTCAGGATTATGCAGAGAAAATTTCCTAAAATTTGAAAGTATTCACTAATAAATAATAAATTTAGAGAGAAGCAACATTAAATGACATAAATAACATTAAAATAAAAATTGAATTAGAATAAAATAATCAATATTTTGGCAAATATAGTTTACATTAATTGGTCACCTCCGTTTATACCGCTTATCGTAATATCCCCAAATACCGTGTATACAGTACATGGAGGCTATTCTAACCTCCATAATACCCTATACTAGGATTAAACTGATTTTATTTTACACGGGAATACGTATTTTCCTTAGTTCAACATGTACTGCATATGCGCATGGGAGTCTCTCGATACTCGAGGTTACTGGAAACTTGTTTTTCTCTCAAGACAGTCTGATTGGAGCAGCGAAAATCGGCTCTATGCCAGCTGCCTGAATGATGCTCACGCAATACTTAATTCGCTAAGAAAGTGATTGCTTCCAACGTTAGCGCAAAACTCGCTTTTCCAGATTTTGACTAAAATATTTAAATTCCCTGAATTTTTTAGTCAGTTTTCAAATTCCTTGACTTTTTACGGTTTTCCAGATAGTGTGGCAACCCTGAATAAACTAATTTGGCCAATTTCCACAAAATTTTATTTTCCTATACACAAGAAATGCATTTTACCTCGTATTTCTTAGGACTGGACTTGTGAGTTTTGGGTACCCAGTATAATGTAGGGAATCTGAAAAATAATAACGATATTTTATACAAATCATAAATGTTAAATATATTTCATGCATGTTTTAAATACTTGCCTTATGAAATCAAAATATTATAAGATTAAATTTGCTTACATTCAGAATTAAGTATACATTAAGTAGAAAAAAGGGGTCTATAATCTACATGATTTTATAATTATATACAGTCAAAAGTCTTTAATCCGGACTCGTCAGGACTTCAGCAATTCCGGATTATAGATCATCAGTTTAAATCTGGTAAGATGGCATGCAGAAATTATAAAATAAAAAATATGAAACCGTGATTTATGAAATAAAAAGCAATTATGATCTAAAGGGTCTCAAAATTTACAAAAAAAAAAAAAAAAAAAAAAAAGCTTTATATTTGTTTACTTTATTTAACATTTCTTTCAACGCGCGCATGCATAAAGCATACATTATGCATAGTCGAAATTAGAAAATTGCAACCAAAAAACTAGTTGATGTGTATTCATGATATTTATAATGACAAGGAATTTGATTTAAATCATATCAAAGACGGAGTACATCGAGATGAAATACTACATTTAGTAAGGAATTATAAGCCGAATAAAATAAAAACATCTGCCCTGAAGATAAGGATAGTGCTGACAGATCAACTTCCATTTCATTGCGCGCTGCGTCGTTCTGGGAAAGCAAAAATCCAGATGCCAGTGTACAGCATGTGTGTTACTATCAAAAAATAGAAGAAAGGCACCCCAAACATTAATGTATTACAAACCACTACTTTTTTCAGAATCTATCAATACTGTAACAATGCTCTATTATGTGATAACCCTGAAGGATGCTTATACTCTCCCAGCAAGATGAAAAACATTCACATTAACCAAGAAGCATCATATTACACTACCACACCTATTTTCAAAGAACAGACTGGATTTTTGATTTTCCAGATTTTGTCTTTAGCATGAACATCACATTTCACACTTTACATGGCTTTAAGTCTTCTTCCAGGCTTTGCAAAACATCAAGTATATATATATCATCACTGTAAGCTAATGTTAATATGCAGTACTCTAAAATTTTCGTTAAAAAGTTATGCCATAAAAAGTAAGAAATGTAAAATATAAGCTTCATATAGAAATCTAAAGATTACAGAATCAATACTAAATCAGCAATTAATACAATACTTCTACTGAAGAGAAAAAAACGAGAATTTGACTGGATTGGTAATTAGAGTCTACTTCCAGTTTAGTTTTGCCAGAAATAATTTCAGGATAAATTCTGCATGAAACATTGAATTTAATCTATGACTTACATCTTCAGCAAGTTTGATTTTAACTTCTAATTTAGATTTTCACTATAAAATTCTAATTTTAAAATGCGATTTAAAACAGAACCTTGATATCTAATTTCTCTTTATTTTCAGCATTAAATCAAAGTATTTTCCTGCAGCTATCTCCAATAATTTTCTTTGAAACTTACCATCTCAAATTTAAACTTTGTGTCTCAAACGAAAGTCAAAGAATTAAAATTTTTAACCTTTCTATCCCAGAAAACATAGCACCAGTCTTCAGTAAAAATGAAGCTTTGCCCATTTAATAAACCCCATGCTTTACACTGGTGGCATAATTCCCTTCTTTAATTTTTATGTTCTAAAGGGCAAGGCATTCAAAACATAAAACAAGCACTCCACACAGAAAATTTTTCCTGATTAACTTTCAATACAACCGCAGGAACAATCAACAAAATTTCAATTACAGTATGCAATGAAGCCTCTATCTCTACATTAACAAATGCTGCATTTTCTCTGTAATAATAAAAGCTTTGCAAATTTAAACAAATCTGAATCTAAACAAAAATGTTTTATAAACTAATAACAAATTAAAAGGTGTTTTTATTCTACATACAAGGTATGCCCATAATGTAGCCAGATAATTTTGTATAAATAAAAAAGGTTATTAACCTTTAAGTAAAATTTATATTTCCTTTAAAATAATTGCCAGAAATCTATATAATTTTTTCAACATTTCTTCAGGTCATCAAAACAGAGTTTACCCATGTTAGAATTAATTGTTCACAAAATATGCATAACATTTATTTAATAAAGACATTTTCAAATCTGCCCTTTTATGGTGATCCTAAGCTTTGAAAATAGGAAAAGAATTAGCTGGTGATAAGTCAATATGGTGGATGATTTAAATGGTGCAATTTCCTCAGCCCCCAGTTACAGCTATCATCTGTTTCAAGCACCAGCTATGATTATTCAAATTGCCAAAATTGCTATATTTTCGACTCAATCTGCGGTAAATTGCTCATATAACTTCTTAAGCTTATCGATATAATTGCTTCAAGATTTACATGCCAATATTGCTATCTACAACCTTCAATAGTTAATCTTAGGACTGTAATATTTAATTTTAGGTATTTCATGATATGCTAAGCAAATTCAAAGATATGCATACCATCTTACATTCTTAAACACAGGGTAGGAAAGTGTGCCAGGAACCTGATTTGTGGGACTTCATCACTTAAGATAAAAGTGCAATTAAATGGTTATACTGTTGTACAGAACAATGCTATATAGGCCTAGGTTGTTGTATAAAAGAAACTATTATCCAGAATAAAGAGATTCTCACTTGCCTTAGCCTTTTCCTTAATTAAAAAAAAAAAAAAAAAAAAAAAAACTCCCTTCTAAAAATATTGTTTTTAAAGGACAAAGTCATGGTGTAATCAAACATTCCAATCAGAATCACCTTAGTCTTTGATTTCAACACTTTTTTCGTAAGGAAGAAGGCTGTCTTTTTCTTCAAAATATTAATAAAAACCATTACCTTGCCAAATATAATAAATGGCTACAGGTCATATCACTTTCACACTATTTTGGAAGAACAACTGTTCAGCTGCTTAGTACAATTTTTTCTGCTATATCACAATATAAAACAGATAATCAGCACTTTGGAGTTACTGCATGTAAAAGGAAACATTCTCCATTATTAAATGGTTGATGGAGTATTTTATTGATGTTAGTCGACTGGTAGTTGAAAACAACGAATAACTTCCAATTTTTTGCAAAAGGAAAAAATAGTGCATCTTACTTTCTTATTAAGTGAGACAGCAAGCTTAAAAATTGTTTGAAACAGCTATTCATAAAAAATAAACAGATAAGTGATAGCAACGAAGGTCTTATTAATAAATGTAGATTAACAGTGACATTTTTCTAATAATTGTATTAACATTTCTAATGCTAAGTTTTCTAAAACTTGAACTCTTAAACTTAAGTTATTGTAAAAATTGTTCACTGGCACAGTAGCACACAAAAAAAATCTCTTTCCATTTCTATGCTACTCTTATGATTGCCATTCTTTAGTAATATTAATTTTTATGTTTTAGGCATATCTCAATATATTACTATTGTCAGTTTATTCCACAGAAATTAAAACTCTTCAGAAAAGTAAGAATTCAGTTAGCATTCCTGTTCCTTCCTAATCTTGAATAATAAGGCAATGGTTAAGAAAAAATTAAATGTGCTTAAAAAAAAATTTTTTTTTGACAAATTAAGTTGAAAAAAAGAAATTGCTACAAAATTTGGGATACCTTCAAATACTCTTATAAGTAGAATAAAAATTCCACATTAAAAAAATTTTTAAATCGATACTCAGATATGGAAAAATGCCTACAGAAATGATTTGAGTTATGGTATAATGAAAAAATTCCAGTTAATAGCAAATGTTACAGCAGAAAACTGCATTTTACTAAGGATGTTGGTTACAACCACTACAAATTAAAGGTAACCATAGATGGTGCAAAAACTCAAAGCAAGTAGACCATTTTTAGAAAGTTTTATGACAAAGTACTTTGGTTAATGAAAAAGTCTGAAGAATAGTTTTACAAGAGCTTTTTTCTCTGTTACAAAGCTAAAAGTTAGATATGTTTAAAGCCAATGAAACTGAGTATAGATACAATACCCAGTTTCATCAGATAAACTTCTAGAAACAGTTTGTTAAAACAGCTGTATTCAAAGTAGGGAAATACCTCATCAATAAAAACTGCAAAGAGAACTATACTATTAACTGTAAATCTAAGCTAGAGATGTACTGAAAAATTTTTGATGATTGGACAAGATACAAAACCCAAGTATTCTGCTAAAACCTGATCATTTTTTATGACATAAAACAAAGATTAAGTTTGAGCAATTCCAAAAATCTTCATCGATTAGCTGAAAAAAATTGACAAAATTATGAGTACAAGTAAAAGAATTCTTTTCTTTGATAATTGGCCTATTCCAATGTTCAGATTAAAAAAAAAAAAAAGTAAAATTTTAGCCAACTAATAAAATTTCAAAGTTACAATTTTTAATATAGGAATCATCCAGAGTCGGATATAGATAGCATACATTTAGAAAATTAAAGATCATATCAAATAAGGTAAATCTCATCTTACCATCAATATCGTATGCCATTAATATGACTGTTTAGAAAAATGTCACCAAAGAAATAAAACTGCTTCAAACCAAGCATTTTAGAGGAAAGAATGAAAAACCAAACAATAAATCTACAAAAGCTTTAAAAGGACAGCGCCTCTAGAACAGTGGAAAATTTCTTAGAAATTAAATGGTACAATTTTCAGAGAAAATTTCTTGAAGTACAATATGCAAGACTAACAGATGGCAAAATTGTTACACATATATATAATCTTCAAAACGACAGTTTAAAAAGCAGAAGTTGCTAACATGCAAAATTTTTTGAAATCCTCTGAAAATAATGATCCCGAATTACTGCTTTATAAAATCTTGTCCAGGTCCAAAAAGATATCTGGTAATTTGTAATATTTTTGCTTAGGTAGTTTTTTTTTTCTCCCCCTCCATTACTTGCTGTTAACTTAATACCTCTAAACTTTTGATACTGCTTGTATTTTTTAAGATATTTAAAACTAAGCATTTAAAATTTTTATTTATATGTATTCTTTATCAAACTATGAATGAACTTTTACTGTAAAATTTATCAAAAATTAAAAAATTATATTGAAAAATCTGTTTAATATTTTTTTAAATTTTATTCCAGGAGATTACAGATTCTGTATTTAGTTTAACTGTAAATTTAATTCAAATTCACTTGCTATAAAACTCACTATTTCACAGTTATGAAAAACTTCAGTTTTAGTACATTTGAACGATTATTACAAATAAATAAAACTGAATTATGTTAAAAATAAAAACATATCACTGTTAGATTGATTCCAAATTCTAACTAATCTTTTTAGTTAATGGTATTTTAAGAAATTTCATTTGCCAAAAATGTGTTTAAAAAACTAAATTTATATTGACAAAGATAAACATCTGTAACTTCCAGTTCTAACTGATAGAGCATTACTACAGACTTACCCATGAACTTCAAATGGAGGAGGAACATCATTAGCAGTAGCATCCATTTTCACAATTTCAACATTTTCACCTTCCATCTATGTAATTCAAAGAATGATTAATAAATTATTTATGAAGAGAAAGTCAATTTGATAATTATGAGTAAAACAAAATATGTAAATATCACCTATTACAAACATTTTTTAATTTTAAATATCTTCAGAATCAGTAACATACCTCTTTTCCTAACTCTTCATAAGTAGGAGCTAATTTCTTACAGTGACCACACCAAGGAGCATAGAATTCAATAAGCACATCTTTATCATTATCAGTTACAAGTTCTTGGAAATTTTGTGCTACAGCAATCTAAAATAAATTTTAAAAGTAAAACATTAACTTAAATAAAATATGAAAACAGTATAAATTTTCAAATTTAATCAGTTATTGTATTTACTGAAAAATAAGACTCCACCACCCAAACAGGATAGTGGTTAGTGACTGACTAAAAAAGGCCTGGATATGAATCATGGAGAAGACATGGCTGTTTGTAAATGTGTCTGTGTGACATGGGGACACTAAATATGTGGCGAGCTGAAGTCCTCTTGAAAGGTTGGTGGCAGGGAAAAAAGGGATAGGAGACCCTCTGACCCAGAGTGCTCTCTTCTTAAAACAGAAAACGGAACCGAGCTAAAGTCGCACTGTCACCTCTATGGTGCTCAAGGCTCTTGCCAATGGCAGGTGCATATAACTATGCCAAGATGGATATCGTAGGCTTGTGTTGACCATTGTCAGACAAGCAAGATTGATAACAATAAAAATCTCCATAGATTTCAGGATAACTTTTAACAAATATAAATATATATGAATATTTAATTAAAGCAATACACAGTTACTTATTTGTTTTCACACACTTCAATAACCAGTACAATAGAGGCTGAAACTGAAAATGCCTAGGTGGACATGGCAAAATTAATGATAGTTACACAGTTTACATACACAGCAATCGCCTGATGTTTGTTTAGAAATTTAAATAGTATAATTGTTCTATATAGTATAACAAATAAATCCATCCTCTCATTCTGCAGTTTCATTCAGCAAACTACCCATATATAAATCCTATCAAAGTTTAGAACAAAAATATTGGTCCTATTTTAAATTAAATATATTTATTATTAAGTGGTTTTATTTTCAATTAAATATATTTATTATTAAGTGGTTCTATTTTCAATTAAATACTATAACTGCCGTGTCAGTAAAATCAAAGTAAAACAATTTCAAGTATTTACAGCAAAATTTTAAATATTTCAATATTAAAATACTTGATATTAAATCACGACCAGTACTTAAATTGCATGCTATTGTAGCATAAATTAGAAACTTCAGATGCATTTTTATTAGTATTACATTCAATTTATTTAACAGCAAAGTATCTTTAGTTGCTGATGCTAGACAAAAACCAAATTACAGGATCATAGTAAAATTCAAAAACTTTAGGTAATTTACAGTCAAAAAGTAAATTTGGCATTTTGAAAGTAATTTAAACTTTAAAAAATTGACCAAACTAAACACTTGAAATGGATTGTTGAAAGTTAATTCTGAAACAGATTTCAAATTCCCTTAAATACAAAAAAGCTATATAGTGCAGAAAGAGATCCACAGAAAAGTAAAGTGTACAGTTTATTAATTTTTATACCATTTTAAATATATGAACCATCATATATTTAATTAAGGTACTTCATAATTAGAGAATTCTGAATATTTTTCAGATTATATTTTAATACAAACATATATATTACATTTTTAAAAAATCTTAATTTTAAAACAATTGCATAAATTACATATTTTGTATATTTTGTTACATTTACAAATATGTCAATCTTAAAAATTCTAATGACGGCATAATATTGAACTGCATATCCACCACAGAGAATCTAACCCAAAACCAAACATTTAATCAACTCGTACGAGCAAGAAGCGACATGTTACAAAAAACACACTTCTAAAACAGCCAAAAACATGTGATAAAAATGTTTGAATCAGCGGATGTGTTAGAAATCTTAATGTTAAAAAGTTCATTAACTTAAATATATATACACAAGCACAACTAATAAACTAAAATTAATTATGCAAACTAATTCAACTTTGTGCATAATTTATATAAAATTTACAAAAGAAATTTTTCTTTAAAAATACTCTGCTTAAAAACTACCATTCTACACGCATTTACTTAAAAATACTGTTATAAATGTCAAATCTGGTAAAATTTTAATCATAAAATTAAAGTACTTTGAATTGTTCTGTGTCAAAAATTTATCTAACAAGTGAACTATTCTAACAAATGAATAATATAACTAAATTTTAATACAAACTTAAGGGCTAATTCATTTTTTAAATAAAAATATATTTACTTTAACAGGTCCATCATTTTTCTCAGGCAAAGGTTCAGATTTTAAGTGAGGTTCAAGACTTCCATCCAAAAATTTTTTCACAAATTCTTCAAAATTTTCAATGCTGTAAATAAAATATTTTATATCTAAAAGGATCAAAGAAACTGCTAGTTAGAAAAATAAAAACAGCTAATTTGAAACAAAAAATAAAGTCGAATAACTAAATTAAAAATGCAAACCTGAATTCTTCTTTCATGTTGAATTTTTGATTAGCTTCATTTCGGGCAGCAATAATAGGCTTGTCACCTTTAGGTGACAAACCATAATCTTCTACTTCAGCAGAAAACTTGTCCTTGTTACTTACAGCAAAATGTACCTGGTCTTTATATTTCTGAGCAACCATCATGATACGATTACGCCAATAGTTTGTACCTTAAGAAAATAAAATGCAGAATGGTGGTTTTATGCATGTTTGTTGAATTAAGAAATTAGTAAAAAATTTATTAACAATGAATTTCTTGGAATATCTGCATTATTAAATTATAATAAAATATCTAAAAACTTCTTTGAACAATTTAAATAGATCATTGATAATTTCAAATACTTTTTTCATCCTAATTTAGAAGACAAAAATACACAGCTATCCATGTTATTTAAAATAAAGAAAAACATAAATGATCTTTAATTGGAGAAATAATATTACTCAATACTAATTTTAATGAATAGATACAAAAGCAGTATATACTAAGTTACACACAAAACAAAGGGTAGCTCTAACCATATAAATTTAATTATAAAAAAGCAGAAATAAGAGGATGCAAAATTCTACATAATCAAGAATAGTTTATTAGATGTTTTTTAATCAAATGTATTATCACTAAAGTTTACTTCAATATAAAAAATTCTGCTATTCTTCATATACCTCATTTATATTTAATTATTATTTGATGGCAATATTAGGTTAAGTTTTACAACTTGTAGATAGATCTTACAAGATGGTCTTAATTAACAAGAGCGTTCAAGCAACAAAATGATTATACATCTTAGTAACAATATAATTAAAAAAACCTTCTAGTTACTCTATGAATTTTTCTTAAAATATGTATCGGTGAATTTTACATCCTTATTAGACTGGGAATTCAAAACTTACTGTATCAAATTTAAAATACTCATCTACAATTAACACAAACCTAACATTTTCATGAATTTAACATTTAAGATTTTAAAAGACCTTAAAAGATTTTAAGATCTTCTTCCAAATAACCTACATAACCCAATACATTTCACTCAAGCTTTGTTATAAACTTCTTCGAATTCACGAAGTGTACCTGATTGTATACACTTAAATAATGCATGTTTATACTATTTTTAATTTTGCTTAAATAATTCATAAAAATTCTCACCTATTGATTAAAAATGGTGAGGAAGTTGAAGGATTTTTTTCCCAACTATTCCACTGACACAACTGAAAACGTGACTTTAGTAATGTAAAAATTCAACTTCCGAAAGATGCAATTTACAAGTATTATAAATGCAGGAATATTCTAATAGCTCCAATATTTATGATATAAAAAGTAGAAAAATGCAATATTTCTTGTTCATTTTAACTATAAAAGTAAACAGTACTATTACAGCTATAAATATCATTAATAAAAAAGGCATTATCTAAATAAGTTCCTATAACAAAATAAACCATAACCAAATTAAAATGTTCCTAATTACTATAAGCTGAGATAAATATCAAATCAATTGTTATTGAAACACTTGGAAATCTTCCTCAGAATAATCCAAAATTCACACTTTCTGGCAATGAAATTCTTGCACAGTTTAAAAGGGATAAAAATGAACCAACTGTGAAAGAGTTAAGTGACATCATAATCAAAATTTACTGAATCTACAGGCGGCAAAAAAAATGCTGATAAAAAATTCAACCCTTATCACTTGGCATATGGTTGATGGAAGCATTACATACATTTACGAAATTTGCTACAATATATATATTCATGTTCTATAAGAATGTCTTTAAAAAAGAAGTTGATCATTTATGAAGTAGACTGATGTTCAAATTTTATTTGAGAAGTTTTCACTGAAAATCACTGGTTATGATTTCAAAGTAAAAAATAATTAAATACGATTAAACTATGAATTTAATTAGAAGTTCATTTCATTAAATGTTAGCAGAATTATAGCTATTTCTTTGCTTTTGAATACATGATATAATGCAAAAAATCAACTCCTGGTAGTATACTAATTTAATCTGATAACCTAGTATCTTTGATAGTGTGGCATCAATGAAGTTCTGAATGTGTCAGATTATTGGACTTGTGCTATATTACTTGAAGGAAATACTTTTACAGAGTTTTCCTAAAAAAGTTTTATGTATAATATATTAACTAGGTTACTTTAGCATATAGATAATCAATCAGCAACTTTACTCAAAGTATACAGTTGCTAAAAGAAGGAAATTTGTTTAATTGGTTAAAGGTTTGCATTTCTGCTAAATTTCAAAAACATTTAATTACCTCTGTTCATACTTTCAAATTATTTAATTACTTCTATTCTGATTGTGGGTACGAACAAAAAATTTGTTTTTATAGATTATAATTTTAGTCTGTTATATGTATGTATGTGCAGTAGATAATTAACAAACGTTTTAAAAATGATAGCTTTAAATGTTACATCTTTAAATTGAAATTCTAGAACATATAAAAAGTTACAAATTAGGAAAATCATTGGGAGAACTAATCTAAATTTGTCGAAGTTTTCAGAAATGGTCTGAGGGTCTCCCCCCCCTTTTCCTCTCTCAAGGAAGGGAACAAACTCAAAAATTAAAACACAAATTTAGAAAATGGAAATATGATATTCATAAAAATTATATTTGTTGAAGAAATATTTCAAATAATTACTTAAAAAACACAAAATAAGAATAAAATTACCTTTAACATTTTTCACGTAATCAACATCGTAGTATGCAACAATAAGCGGAGCTTTAAAATCATCATGATTATCATGTGTTCTGTGTCCAACAAGACCATGGCTGTAAAAATTGCATGATTTTAAAGCCAAGAAATATATTGAAAGTATTATATTCATTGAAACATTAAAAGATTTTTTATGATGCTTAGAAAATTTAAATTACACACAAGAAATAACTGCCAAGTTTTATTTATTTAACTGCAAAAATTTAATTTTCAAATGAAAATAAAATGAAAGCTTAAAAGAAAAATTAGGTTAGGTATGTAATTACGGCAAAGCCTCGAGGGCTATCTGCCTAATGGGAGAGGATGCCTTCGTGGAGGACTTTCTACGGGAAACTGGCTCGTATACACAGTACATGAGGGGAAAACCACAAAAACACCCATGCAGCCAGCTCATTCGCGGGATTCGAACCTCGGACCGAACTGCCAGTGTTTAGCGACTTGACCGCTCAGCCACTGGTGGGCGCCTAAAAGAAAAATTAACACAGCAAAATGTCTATTACAGGGTTGCCACTCAAAGATGATAATGAAATTTCCTGACTCTTACAATTGTTTCAAGAAAATTCCAGGCTATCTGTGTAGTGTGCTAAGGGTAAATTAATTATGGTACCACTTGAAAACAAAATTTTTCCAATTACATAAGACTTTATATATAATCCCCAAATAGCGAGTTATTTTCTCCACTGAGAATTGAGATTAGAATCTGCCCAATTGAGACTTTTCAGGTAGCATAACAACCCTGATATGAAACACATTAAACATCATATACTAATTCAAATTACTTACTAGTTCTCTTTAACAAATTCTTTAATTTCATCTTTATCAGCAGAACCAGCATATTTAACTTCATTTGGTTCAAACTTGTTCCAGTATTTTTTTGGACGTAACAAAACAATATCACTAAAAAGGAAAAGATTATAAAACTTGTTATCTCTGAAGAATACAACATGAAATGAAATATTAATTACACATTACTAACATTGATTTCAGTAAAAATAATTTCATGCATCACACTTTTAAAGATGTTAAAAGGTATTACAGAACCATTATTAAATTGAACTTATAACACAACCTTACTACTCGTGACAATGTTAAGTAACTCATGACAATGTTTCTTCCATTACAGATAAATTCATAACTATATTTTAAAATGCAGTTCAATAAAAAAATATACACTCGTTCAACATAAAAATCAGAATTTATTTATAATAACCATTGGAACATTCACATGAAAATCCCAATGCCACTTGTTATTAAAAGTGAAGAGCTATTATGCATATGGTTGCCAGAGTTCAGGACACTGAAAATTCGGCAACAACTTCTATCAAGAAAGAGCTTTAAATTTTAGTAATTTACTAGATAAATACTCTAACAATCATATCTGTAAAAATTATTCTTACTCAGAATATCCCTTTTTCTTCAAAACATCTGCATTTGAAGTATGACCAAAAGTAACAGATTCCCTCAGTTTATCAGCAGCTTTTAAGAACTCTTCTTTAAGTTTGCTTGATGAATCAGCAAAATAACCTAGAATTTGATATCATAATATACTGAATAATTTAACAAAATGTATTTAACTCATAAAATAAACAAAATTGTTTCAAAAGAATATAGTAAAGTTAAATTAAATTTAAATAATTCTCTTCCGCCATTGCTGCAAGGAATTTTTTGATTTTTAAAAAATTTTACAAAATTTTAATTTTATTTCAAAAACATTTTTGATTTTTTTACAATCCTTAATAATTTGCAACCATTTTTTCACATAACATTACAGTTAGCATTTTTACATTTTTTTTACACATTTTTAAAATGCTTTACAATTAGCAAAAAATTTTTTGCAACAGTACACACATCTTAACACATTCGCTGCCACTGACGCGCTGGCGCGTCAGCATGGCGCTACCTCCCATGCCGGTGACGCTCTGGGGCGACAATCGAGTATAAGTAAACTGCTTTAGTTTTAGTTCGGATTTGGAGGTTGAACGATGAGGTTTTTGTGGCACGTTAGTGAAGCATTATTTTTATATTTTCAGTGCGTGGTTTTTAAATTTTGTGTTTAATTTTTTTTTTTTTTTTTTTTTTTTTTTGTGTGTGTGCATTTTTAAAAATGGCGGACAGTACAAGTATTGCAGGACCTTCACAGCCTAAGAAAAGGAAAGTAAGTAAAAAACTGACTGATGCCGAAATATTAGAATTACTAGAAAAGAGTGATCTTTCTGATTATGACAGCGTAGACGATGAAGATTACGGTTGGGATTCTACGAGCGAATCGGAAGGAGATAGTGATGTCGCTGTGGATAACTTAGAAATGTCGGATTTTGACACAGAAGATCAACAATTACCGGTAATCCGACAGGTTGACTGGAAAACAGATTCAAGTTGCATGGTAAGTCATACATTTACAAAATCTGAGTCCTTGCTAATACAGCCAACTGAAAGTACTCCTATCGGATATTTTCGCCTTTTCCTCACTGAAGTATTTCTGGAAAAAATAGTCGAAGAAACAAATCGTTACGCATTAGAAATACAAAATAGCGATAAAACGAAAGAAAAGTCGCGAATAACGCTTTGGAAAGATTTAAAAGTGGATGAATTTTTAGTTTTTTCGGGAGCATTCTTGCAAATGGGGACAGTAAGAATGAATAGACTTCAGGACTACTGGAAGAAGGACCCATTATTTCATAATGCAGGCAGCATTGCAAATAGCATTGGCCGAAATCGGTTTTTATTAATTTTACATGCATTACATTTTGCAAAAAATAGTGAACCTGGAGAACCTCAACCTACAGACAGGTTATATAAAATACGCCCTGTTATCGATTTTTTTAACGAAAGAATGTGCGAGATATATTATCCTAATAGAGAACTTTCTTTGGATGAATCTATGGTTCTCTGGCGAGGTAAATTATTGTTTCGCCAATACATAAAGAATAAAAGACATAAGTACGGTATAAAACTTTATATTTTGAGCACATCAAGTGGAATAGTGCAAAAGATTGCCGTGTATACTGGTTTATTAGATGACTATGGAGGGCAAAACCATACACAAAAAATTGTTTTGCATTTACTGAATGAAAAATTAAATGTCGGTCACCATGTTTTCATGGACAATTATTATAATAGCTTTGACTTGGCCAAGTTACTGTTAGATATAAAGACACACTGCACAGGCACATTGAGAACCACTCGAAAAAACACTCCAAAGAATGTTCAAACTACTTAAATTGCGAAAAGGCGATACTATTGAAAGATATTGTCAGGGAGTAATGATCGGAAAATGGAAAGATAAGCGTGAAGTGTCTTATATTTCTACGGAATACAAAAATGAAATGGTTGACATTTTAAATAAACGAAATGAAATAAAGCAGAAGCCTCTGCCAATCATCAGATATAATGCGTTTATGTCTGGTGTAGATCGGCAAGATCAAATGCTGTCATATTATCTCTCGGAGAGAAAATCACTATGCTGGTATAAAAAATTGTTCTTTCATACTATTGAAGTAATGCTAATGAATTCACATGCTCTTTATAATAAATATTCCGGAAAAAAAATATCACTTTACGAGTACCGACTGAACGTTGTAAAATCACTTTTGCCATCAACAGATGAACAAAAGCCGACTCCCAAGAATCTCAGACATACTCTTCAGAAAAGAGAGCTTGCACCTGGTAAAACCAAAATACAAAGAAAAAGGTGTACATCTTGTCCCTCTCAAGGCAAACGCACAGACACTACGTATGAGTGCCGTGACTGTTCCGACAAGCCAGGATATTGCTTGAATTGCTGTGAAATATACCATAAGTGATAATATATTTATGCAGTACTGTTCTACACTGACATTTTGTTTGTAATAAGTTTATTTTTTTTTCATTTTCTATTATGTTATTTATGTATATTATACAATATTTGTTACATTTTATGATCTTCTATTTACATTTATACATATTTATGTTTTACTGTTACATTTTATAATTTTTCATAAATTTCACTTCTCTTTATCCAATTAAACATTTTATTTCTTTTAAACTGTGACTTTATATAATGTGTCAATAATTTCGCAGAAAAATGATGAGTGGCATACAGATAATAAGTTGAACGTGAGGTGCCACTGACGCTCTAGAGCGTCTGAAATTTTTTTACACTAAACACGAAAATAAAAGGTTTTTCTTTTTTTCTGGCTTTACTATTAAAATATTAGGAACGTTTTTAATCATTAAAACACTTTTTTTAAATTCGGCTTCTGAGGATGGATATATAAATTTTGGTGGCAGCGAATGTGTTAATTACTAAAAGTTTACAGAATAGGTTTTTTAGAATAGATCTAACAGATGGAAACTTAACACTCAACTTTACCTTATCGTAGTGCCCTCTATTAATAAAGTCAAAAGAAATGCACTACTTAACATCACTTAGTTTGGCATGCTGCTCCACTCCCCAAATACAAATATAGTACCTTAAATTAAAACTTACTTGCCTTCCTAGTATTATAATTTATGTATCTTTTTATAAATAGTATCTAGTTTCTTTTTGATTTATTTGCATAATTCGTGTCGGGGGAAGTTTTTCGTAGGCAAGAATTTCTAAATTACTTTGTTTTTCTACTCTTAATTGACTTTAATTTTTCTAGTCTTTACTTGCTAATTTCTCTAAATTCTACTTGTTTAAATTTTTTTTAGTAATTCACAACATTTGGTTTTACTTTTGGTTTTGAATTTTCCTTTTATCCTTGCCTATGTGAATGACAAAACATGAATTGAATGATTGAAGAGTTAGGTTTGGAGGCAACTTCCCCTTGATAAGTCTGTCTCCTGCCTGCTCAACAATCATTCACTTATGCATTTTTATAAATTTTTTTAGGATTAAATAATTTTTGGAATTTTATATTTATTATTAATGGATTTTGATACTTGCACTTGATTTACATATGCTCTCAGAATTTAAATGATATTGTAAATTAGTTCGCAACAATAATCATTTGTTTGCATTAAATTTCATTTAAATTTATTAATTTGATTTACTTTTAAACTTAATTTGCTTTTTATTAATTACTCAATTATTTACATATTTAAAATGGCTATTGGACTTTTGATATTTAATTAGTAAAATCATTGAAAGTTACTGATGATACTTCAAATTGACAAATCTGTGTCAAGTGGTTATGGTTATATTCCTGTTCTTCACCAAGGCTGTTGCATGCGATACCATATTTAAGCACATTTTAAAAAGTTCAACATTTCACCTTTTATAAAATACAAAATGTATAAATGTATTTATGTAAAATATACTTAGGAGTGTCTAAATAATATAGTTAATGTAATTTTTTTAAATTATTCTTCAAATCAGAGCACAAAATATAGTCCTTCAAACTTGGAATTCAAGAGCGTACATGGAATGAACAATTTATTTTCATCCGAGATGTAGCAATTCCGCAGTCATTCAAAATTTTAAAAAAGTTAAAAACATTTCTAGGAAAGTGCAGCAACCTTGTCACTTAACATCTTAAACGGCAAGATGTAAAATATGCATTTTTATATCCTTTGTGCTAATCTTTGAGAAGGAACACTCACTTATGTATAATACCGATTCCAGAAGATGAGCGAAAATTAAAAGAATTTTCCTTCTACTATGGATATCAATAAAGTTTATTAGAAAAAAAAAATGTACTTGAAAAGATATCTAAAAATCTTCAGGGAAGAGAGGTAAAATTACAAAAACCAAAGTTTAGCCAGATCTGCATTAAAACCTTAGGGAGCATTAAAACCTAAATGATAAAAAAAAAGGCCTAAAATTTTAAGGATAATTCCTGCTGTTAATTATATTACTCATTTTAGAAGATAAATTTAAATACAGTCAAAAAAGTTATTCCAGTTGCTTTCCATATATTTAGCCTAAGCCCAATTAAAATGATTTTTTACATCATGAAATACCTTTTTGAAAATTGGGATACACAATTTTAGGATCACAAGTTGTTTTCCTCCCTCAAACTGAACATATTCAACTTCTGATTCCATCAATCCTACATATATATGTAAGTTTGTTTAAATTGGTGAAAATGATAGCTGAGTTAAACTTATATTTCGTTAGTACTGATCTTCTCCAAACATGTTTTAAATTTCAAAGCATTTTTACTTAAAGTAAACTATTTTAAAATCTGCAAAGAAGCAAATTGTTTCTAAAATTAATTTCTAAAGTTTTTCTCAAAAGTATTTCATATACAAATAGTAAAAATAAGAAAGCAGAAAGCCAAGGACAAAAGATACAGCATTCTAAAAAATAATGAAGAGAAAATCAAAATCTCTGCAATTACAAAAGACACTTTGGTAATGTGTTACAACTGATACAGTGAGTGAAGGATTCACCAGAAAATGATTTAAAAATTCACTCATTCTACACAAACCACTGCAATTCTTCCAATGAAGATAGGGGAAGATGGAATGCAAGATAAAACATCGATAAATACCTCAGCAGAAATATTTTATCAAAAAATTGATTTCTGCTGAAGCCCTTACCTTACGATTTACTTTCAATGAATGCCTGTAACCGATTTAATTTAGCACAACTCTGTAGACAGTAAATTTACACATTTTTTAAATATTTAACTACAGTGAATACCTAAGTCTAAGACACACACAAAAAAATATATATATGTTACCGTGAAAGACCGAAATTGGAGAATGTCGACTTTCAACAGAATGTCAGCATTCACCAAATACGTTGGTGAAAGATCGAATATTTCATTACATTCTTATACATTCGGACGCTCACTGGTGTATGTCGACAAACAGATATGCTCTGGTGTAGGTCGAAAAGAGGAGTATATGTACATGCTGTCATTGCTAAAGGAAGTGTTACACAAATAAATGCAGTTGTAAAAACAAGGGCCTCTTTTGCAATTCAAAGTGTCATAATAGTTTACGTTGTTGCAATAAATAAGATTTGAATCAATAATTGATAACTTTTTAACTTCTTTATTTTCCTTTCTCATTTTGAATGCCTGTGTGTTTTAGTTTAATGTTTTAGTTCTTATTTTAAGTCTCAAGTGAAATTTTTTTGCGACTGAATCACGGAGAAGAAATAATATTCTTATATGTTCAACATCCACCATTAGTACATGCGAATGTCGACATTTACCGGTGTAAGCAGAAATAAGAGTATTTAGAAATATTCGGACATACACCAAGCGACTATATGAATGTTGACATTCACTGGTGAAATTCGACATTCTCCAGATTTCGGTGTTTCGCCGTAACATATATATATATATACTGACAAGACTTGTTATTTCCACTTAAGAGGATAAAGAAAGCTGGAATCCTTATTATACAGATTAAATGAATTAAAGAGAAATGTACAAATATTAATTTTGAATTTACAGAATTTGACTACACTGTACCTTCTGATCATTGGCACACCTACAAAAGGTTTACAATTCTCTTACCATTTTATTAAACTGTCAAAAATACTCATTTGATTAAATTTAAAACTCACAAGTAAAGAATTATTTTTAAAAACTTATAAAGAAAACAAAAGTCTGTAAAATCAACATTCACATTTTTATAACCAATGGATAATGTTCAGCAAAATACTTAAATAAAAAGCATGCAAATCTACATCTACTCAAACATTGACAATATAATATATTGATTGCCATGATGCATTTATATATGAAAATCTGTCAAAAACAGAGCAATTTCACTGCATGTTGAAAATGGAGATGCTGATAATCAGAAAATACCAATTATAAATTTATATTACACGTCATAAATTAAAATATCAATTTGATTTCTCAATCAATAGTTTTAATGGATTTAAATAATTTTTTACCAACTTTCAAGCCAACTTCCCATACCATTTAAACATAGTCTTTCTCATTAGGTCCTTACAGGGTCATTATATTTTAAGGACTATAATATGGACTTTTTCTTTCAAAAATTGCCTCCAAAATTCAGGAAAGTCTTATACTTGAAATTAATATAAAAATGTCTATATATATTTGATGCTGCTGGAAACCTATCTTTATCTGGCAACATTGGATTCAACTGGCAACAACTAGCAACACTGCCTCCCTCTTGCCCGGCCATCACAAACTCAGAACACTGTCTAGCCTATGATGCATCACTGTAGTCAATGGTGCCAGTGAACTGAACTGAAAGTGATTTGTGTTATTGATAACAGTACAATATTTTTGTTAGTAGCTAGTTTCACAATGGAAAAAAGTTTAT